CTGGAAGCGGCGCGGGCCGAGGGACGTACTGGCCGCCGCTTCCAGCAGCTCCCATTGGCCTGGAGCAGCGAACCGCGGCCAGTGGGAGCCGCAATCGGCCGGACCTGCGGACGCGGCAGGTAAACAAACTGGCCCGGCCCGCCAGGGGCTTTCCCTACACAAGCGGCGTCCCAAGTTTGGGAATCACTGCAATAATGAATTGTCAAGCGAAAACACTCAACATTTAGATTAGAATGTTTATTCAATTTGATTACTGTAGTTCTTTGGCAGACATCTCTTCGGGGATGGGGGAAAAGGATGGGATGGCTATTTTGAGAATTTATATTCCGGATTCTACAGACAAGTAATTGGAGAAATAGGCAAACAACTGATAATTCAGTAGATGGCTCAAAACTTTCTAGTGTAAGAGGGCAAATAGGAATGCCCAGGCTCCTGCTTCTTTGGAGAACTGCCCACTGAAAAAAAGAACATTCTACATGTTGGCATCTATGCATGGACCCATGCACAATCCAACAGGCTCTACTTCTCTTGCCCAGGAGAATGGGGACAACCCAAATATGCCTAACTTTTATTTAAAATATGTCAACTAACTTGGGGATAGGGGCATTCCTAGCTGGCTCTCCCCACAATCCTACGTTTCCATCTGATGGTTTTTATCATTATACCATTGTGTACAGTGCTACTATATGAGTTTCTACCTACTAGTATTCTAAGTCTGTGCACTGGAATAGGGGATGATGGCTGGAGAGTAATGTTTTCTGATATACTAAGTGTGTTTGTGTCTAAGTGTCATATGTATCGCTAGAAAATATTATGTTCAGAGTTAGCAACTGCTGAGACTATCAGAATTAAAATGTCTTGGTTGAGGAGACTTAAAATAATTAAATTGCACTTGGCTTAAGGGAACACTGAAAAACACTCACTGAAGGAGACTTTGAAATTTTTAAAACTTAAACTGTAAAATGACTTCTGACCTTTAGCACCACTGATAACAAGTCCCAGCTCTGCACAGACCGATACACAGACAACTTCATGGTCATGACCAGTTAGAACAGCTCTAGGAGCAGGATAATCACCTGTAAAGAAACAATAGTAAGGAATTACAAACCATAAATGTTTCAGCAACAAAGGAGGAGTTTTGCTGCAATTTGTTTTAAATCATTAAGCATCAGAGGAAGGTGCAATCTGCATAAGCGTCTAATTCTTGGGTTTTCTGTGCAGAATTGCATTTAAACCTCATCAAGACTCTCATAAAGCAACACTCCAGTGCTCATTTGTTCACATAATATACCTCTATTATTTAGTAACAGTGGGATGTGCGCTGTGTATGCTGCACAGGATGACGATAAGGTACTGGAAATCTGTGCTATGTATTCTAACTATACTGAAAAGAGAAATGCATTCCAGAGACACATGGAGTATGGCACTATTAAAGGTAATAGTAACACAATGACATGCAATGTAACAAAGCACATGCTTCTAGAAAAAAGAAACTTAGAAAAATTATGGTGGATTTCTGAATCCCTTCATGATTTTGTAATATACGTATTTCTGAATGCCTATTACATCAAGATTTAAAATACAGGAAAACAAACAGCTGGACGTGTAATTATGAATTTATTTACAGACGTGTGTTTTTGTGTGTGTGTGTATGTATATATATATATATGACACAAGTACTTCACACACTGACAGTCAGCTACACATATTAAAAAAGAGGTTACTTACCTGTACAGTAACTGGAGTTCTTTGAGATGTTTTGTCTCTGTGGGAGCTACACCTCAGGATGTGCAAAGATTTTTTATCAGCAGTGCCCACAAGTTCATGCCTGCCCCCTGCATATCCTCATGCTCCAGTGAGAGGGTATATAGGGATGGGCAGACCCACTGCTGCTCAAGTTTCTTCTCAATCATGAAGTCCAGAAATAAGACTCTGCAGCAGAGGGGAAGAGGAGCAGATGAGGAGCACCCATAGGGACAAAACATCTTAAAGAACTCCTGTTACTGAACTGGTTAAGTAACCTCTCTTTCTTCTTCCAGTTGTTGTCCCAATAGGTGCTCCACCTCATAAGACTCCTAAACAGAGGAGGCAGATTCAGTAGATCGAAGAACAGCTTTGCTACAGGTCACATCCACCCTGGAAGCAGGTACGATAGTGTAGTGCTGGGAAAACATGTGAACAGATGACCAGGTGGTGGGTGTGCATATGTCCATGATGGGTATATTCTGAAGTAGGGCTCTGGAGTTGGATTGAGCCCTAGTGGAATGAGCAGTCACTTTAAGTGGGGGATGCAGTCCAGAAGCTTCATAACAAGCTAAAATGCACCCTGAAACCCATTTTGAGTAGAAATGGGCTGTTCCATCATTCTTTCTGTGAAAGAGACAGTCTGGGAAAGCCGTGAAAGACTGAGTGCTATCAAGGTAGAAGGCAAGAGACCTACATGCATCCAGGGTATGAAGACGAGCCTCCTTTCTTGAAGAGTGAAGCTTGGGGTAAAATACTGTCAATTGAATGTCCTGACTGATGTGGAATTCTGATGAGACCTTATGCAAGAAATGAGGATGGGGACATAGAGTTACTTCATCATAGTAGAAAATTGTGTAAGGAGGGTCAGCCATGAATGCCTCAAGCTCTTTCACCCTCCTGGACAAAATTATGGTTATAAGGAATGACTTCTTGAAGGATAAATGAAGGAATGAACAGCTCCCCAGGGGTTCAGATTGAGGTTTTCTTAAGGCACTGAGAACTAGGCTAAGATCCCAAGGTGGAATAGGCTGCTTGAGGTGAGGAAAAAGGTTAGACAAACTCTTAAGGAACCGAAGAGTGGTAGGGTGTGCAAAAACTGAAACCCCTTGACCTGTGGATGAAAATGGCTGTGGATGAAAGTAATGACAGCTAAATGCACCTTAATGGAGCTCATTAACAAACCCTGTGTTGTTGTTTTTTTAATTCAGCTGGTAATTGAGTATGTTCCTGAGGAGAAACTCGTGAAGGATATATAGATCAATTGGCACATCAGGCTTGGAAACGCCTCCACTTTTGCAGGTAGCTTTTCCTCCTGGTGGATGTTGCTACTGCTCAGGAGTACAGTTTTAACCTTGAGAGAACAGTCTAATTCTATGCCTGAGAACCACTGAGGAGCCAAACCTTGAGGTGCAGTGATGAGAGGCTGGGGTGGGTTATGGTGCTTGATTCTTGTGCTAGGAGATCTGCTGTCAGAGGAAGATGAAGAGGCTTGCCTCAAGCTTGATGGTGCTATGAGGATAGCTAATGCTGCCTCTTGTTTTACCTTGTTCAGAGCCATGAGGATCAATGGTGTTGGAGGGTAAGCGTACTGCAAGGTGCAATGTCAAGGAACGAGGAGGCTGTCCCCCATCAGGTTGCGACTGTAATCTCCCCTCGAGCAGAAGCATTGGCACTTTGTGTTGGATGGCACTACAAAGAGAGCTATCTCTGGGATGCTCCAAAACTAACAAATCATCTGGAAGACCAAATTGCTGAGTTCCCACTCACAGTCATGGCAAAAGTGTTTGCTCAGGGAGTCTGCCATGTTGTTTTGCAGTCCCATCAGATAAACTGCTGAGATGTCTATGTGCTGGGACATGCAACAGTTCCATAGCCTTATTAACTCTGAATGTAGGCACTGGTATCTTGCTCCTCCTTGATGATTTATATAGTACATGGCCACTCTGTTGTCCAACATTATTTTGGCTGAGTGGCCCCTGACGCTGGGTAGGAAGTGATCAAATGCACAGCAAACTGCCCTGAGTTTGAGAATGATGATGTGGAGTGACAACAATTAGGGAGTCCAATTGCCTTGGGCTGTGAAATCCTGGAGATTTCTTTACCATCCTGAATTGCTGTGTAAAGATATAGGTGTTCAGAGCCTGAGGTCCAGGACTGGTCTTCAACCTCCTTTTTTCTCGGGAACCGGGAATGCGCTTTTCTTCCTTGGCTGGAAATGGAAGAGGTGAGGCATGCTGGTTGAAACTGGGGACAAAGCCTGGAAGCAGCCAGTGTCTGTAATGTGATTCTTTGTGAAATGGGTTTAAAGTGAAAAAAAAGCTGCAAGTAAGGTATAAACTCACCCTCCACAGCATTAACCTCTCCTATCAAAGGGGGAGGTGTACAAAACTGGCAGGTGATCTGGCTTTTCAGCTAGGGAGAGCAGTTATCTGCGAGAAGCAGAAAGAGGCATGTGCTGGGTGTATCTGACCAGGGATTTGCTAGAGTTTGAGGTTGAGTTTCAGTGGTTTCTTTGTCTATGTGGCTTTTATATCTCCAAGGGTATGATGTGTGGGGTGGAATAATCTGAGGAGATGATGCAACAATCTTATGGATTTTCCAGTCTGTTTTCCCCTTCTGTGGGTTCTTCTGTGAAAGAGGACTGTGACAATTTGGGTAATCAGTATATGTACAATTCAATAATTTTGTCTGAGATTATGAACTGCGGCCCAGATTTTCAAAGGTATTTAGGTTCCTAACTTCCACTGATTTCAATAGCTCCTAACTTCCATAGATTGATTTAAATGGAAGTTAGAAGCATAAATATATTTGACAATCTGGACTTCTGTATATATAGTTGTGTCAGACTGCAAACTCTATTATGAATTTGGGCTTTGTCTGCCTTCTGTCTTTGTACCTCCAGGTTGGACTGGACTTCTAAGGGATGGTGACAAAGGGCTAACCACAAAAAAGTCATTAAATCTTGATAGTCTTCTATTCCAGTGCAAGCACACTTAGACAAAGAAGGTGGCCTTACCAAGAAAACTGGTCCACCCAGGTAGATGGTAACTGAGCAACAGATCACCTAGAGGATGACTTTGATTACCTGACAAGTGGGTATTGGAACTGTATAAAAGGAAGCTGAGAGAGAAAAGAACAAGCAACTGCATCCATGCGCACAACCCAATGATTCAAAGGAGAAGTCAAGTGAAGGAGATGAGATCCTGGACACTCTCGAGGACTCTGACCAAATCCCAAAGAACACCCAACAGCGGTGAGGAAACTAAAGCAGGGAAGGGCACATAGCATATTTATTTCTGGACCTGTTCATCTCTTGTGCTCTCTAAAGGATAGAGTAATTGCTTTAGAATTCTTTTAGCAAAGTCTGTCTATTATGTGCTTCAACCATCATTAAATGTAAACCAGAGCGCTCACAGGGATGGAACTCTGCAAAAGGGTGTGCTTAAACTACCGGAGAGTCTGAGAGATCAGCACTTGTCCTGGGTGCAAGGTCCCACATCTGTGAGGGGAAACAGACAGAGTCTGTGCCCATGAAGTGTGCCATGGAGCTAAAGACACAGCAGCTGGAGCCTACCAAGATCAAGGAAAGTTTAAAAGCATGCGGGCCCGGCGTGTGGGACCCACACACAGCAGCCTGGTGAGTGTCCCGCAATCTAGGCCCAAGTGTTTATTTGGTTGAAAAGTTACTGTGATTCAGTATTGCCAACTTTTGCGATTTCATTATGACTCTAGTGATTTCAGGTGTTTTTTACCCGTCTCATGAAAACATGAGGAAAAGATGCCAACTCATGAATTTTCCCTTATTCAAGATGGCCACCATCTCCTATTACTGTCAATGGGGCTAAAGCCAGCAAGATGCCCACCATTTCCCGACAGTTTATGTGCATGTGGGAGTCCGGCTGCCTTTAATAAAGTTGGCTGCTACTTTCTACTATTTTCAATGAAATTGAAGCCATGCCCACATGGCTTCCATGCTATGATTCAGGAGGATATAGAGGTCATGGACTGTGAGGAGCTGCGGAGACACTATGAAAGGTAGATGAGGAGAGTGAGGGAGAGCAGGACCCAGGGGGAGCAGAAGGCAGATTTAGGAGGTGCAGAAGGGAGGTTGAGGATGTGGGAGGCAGGAGGATGCAGATGACAGTTCCCCAAGTCATGGGGTAGTGGTGAGTAAAGGGATTCCCCTCTGAGCAGCCAGGGTAGGCAGTCTGGAACAAACTGAGAGTCACAGGATTTTGGCACCTGCAAGAGGAGCTCTTGCAATGGTACAAGAAGCAGCTCTGATCCCTCGATTTCTCCTCTACTTGGGATCCAGGTAGAGATGAAGCCC